TCGGAAGGTACGTAGATAGTCCGGAAGGATCGTCGATCACATGATCTCAGAATTTTTTCGCCATGACTAATCTACTAGAATTTTTTGCTCATGAATTTCTGTTCTGCTGTTAGGCGAGCAAGCGAAAGCCCTTTAATTTATAATCTAAACAGCTTCACGTATGATTTATTTTACTACGTACAAAGTCCACAAAAAATTGGTAATGAAATAGAGTTCATAATTCTGATCGTTTATAGCTGTTTAATACTGGGACAGCAGAAAAATTTTCTAATGACTGAATCGATAAGTTACCGAAAATGAATCAATAAGTTACCTACGTCAAAAACTTATCGATTCGGTCATCATCAATTTTCAAAGTGTACAGAATTTATGAAACAGTTGTAAGCTAAAAAATGCAAATCTTATAACCTTACACCGTGAGGAATAAAAACCATGAGAGTCTAAATGAATATGCTTTATTAAAATCAATAGCACATAAAAAATGCCTCGTGATATGTCTATAATTGCACACCATTCTCCTCTTACAATTTATAGGGGTAATCAACTAGCTTACCATCTCCATTACAATAATCAAATGGAATTTTGAAATGGTGAAAAATAATGCCAAGCACAAATACTTCATTAGACGACCAAGTTCGCGAATCAATCACAATCTGCGGTTCATGTCCATGGAAGTGTTTTGACGCAGAATGGTAGAGGCCCCTAATACAATGCTGAACGTCGTCGTACCGAAGATCATTATCTTCACACGCTTTCTTTAAAATTTTGATGAAATCTTCATCTTGAGATAAGCGCTTCAGAGCATTATCTACGGGTTCTGTAAAGACGATCGACTTATCTTTTGACAAAATCTGTCGTGTAAAGTCCCTCTCAATATTCAAAATTCGGATGGTAAAATTGAAAAATACAATTAGAAAATAATTACCTGCGCGCGAACAAATTCCAAGGCACCCCTTACGTTAACCATATGCTTCGTTTGCAATAGACTTTGTGCTCTGTTTTCTGCTAAATTGTTAGCCTTATTCAATTCTTGATTTTTGTTTTCCGTTAAACTCAAAAGCTTTTCCTCATTGCTTTCCTTTAAACTCAAAAGCTTTTCCTCATTGCTTTCCTTTAAACTCAAAAGCTTTTCCTCATTGCTTTCCTTTAAACTCAAAAGCTCTTTCTTATTGCTTTCCGTTAAACTCAAAAGTTCTTTCTTATTGCTTTCCATTAAACTCAGAAATTCTTTATCCTTTCTTTCTACAAAACTCAGAAATTCTTTATCCTTTTTTTCCAATAAACTAATCATTGTGTTCTGTAACACGTCCGTCTGCAGCAGAAGAAATTTATTAGCTATTTTGTCGGAAAGCTTGCTCGATTTATTCGTATAACCGACAACATTGTTTCTTGAATAACCGCGAGTCCACTGAAAATTCTGTGAATAATATGTAAATGTTATGAAAATAATCACACCCAGTACAATTAGCTTACCGTAAGCACCCTTCTCCGAGTAAGTCTCGCAAACTTAAGTGCAATCAACATAGCGATAGTATTTAGGGGAAAAAAAATTCAAACGTAGATTTTTTTTATATCTGATTACATAGATTAAAAATGATTCTGCGATTGGCCAAAATTACGTAACGGTAAAGTTTTCCAGTATTATGCGTGGCGTATTAATCAGCCCAAGTAATTATAACAATACTGTAGTAAAATTATAGAACGAAAACATTATTTTTTAATCGAATCAAATGTTCTATACATAGTAATTTGATTTTCTACTCTAATTTTAGCTTTTAAACTGCTATTACTAAAAAGGCCAATGTTATATCAACATATCGATATCCCTACTATATAAACTATATATTTTACATATAAATATATATCCTAAATTTTATCACAGCAATTAAAATTTCGTTGACAATATATTTACAAATAAAAAATCGTCTCTAAGCCCCGGTTTGATGTGAAAGAATAGAATTTTAACTAAATCACTTGCAAAACGCAACCAATCAACCAGACTCGTTCTAAAGGATATAATAATTACAATTGACTTCGGGCATGATTGGTATATTTTATATTATCATAAGACTATTTTGATGTCCTAACCAAAGTTTCACCTTTGACTGTAATTTAAGCAAATACCAGTCTGATTTTTCTTTTATTAATATATTTTTATATCATTCAGTTTAGTTAAAACATAGGAATGTTATGTGGTCTGATCTAGACTGATGCCACAGTTAGTCTTAAGACCGGTCTGGAATTGAAAAGAATTGATCTTCTTTAAGTCTTAAGACTAGACCAGTCTTGACCGACTAGGTCTTAAGACTATAGACCATAATAGGCCACCAGTACCGAACCAATGAAGTGACGAAGATCTTTCAATACATCTACTGCCTGAAAAGCTCGACTTATAAAGATTTGCTAACCCTAAATGTTTGGCAATTTTCCGAATCGATAATCCTTCTAAATACTTTTCAATTATCTGCTAGTGGATATGCTAACATATTTAATCAGAGCTATATTGGTTATCATTATCGATTAATGAATGTCACTATAAATAAAACCCATTACTAAATGTTAGATCCGTCATTAAGTGACAGGATAATTTTACAATGTATATATATTATATTGTAATGATGAGCAATCTTTAATACCTCGCGTGATCCAATTTCCTTTTTTTGGTACTGATTAATTAATGGCTCGAATTGTGTCATTTCCGGAACTGATTGAGCTCTTTGTTAAATATCAGAAACCCGATAGATCCTATAATTTTACTGATAGCTCTATCAGTTCCAATATGAATCTAGAAATAACACGATTCGAGCCATTAATAATTGCCATATCGGGACTAAAGAAACTATGATATATGCCCGATATGCTTTATTTCGACCAGTTATTGTCATTTTAACGGCTCTTTATGGTTAATGTTAGGATGAGAAAGTTGTATTATAAAACCATTCTAAAAACTTTTTAGCGTTTGAATTAGGATGGTTGTATTGTATATTAAAATTTCACGAGGAGTTACTTAGCGATGAAAAGTAGAAATATGAGCTGATGTAACATACAGTATATTAGAAAAGATTTTGTCGACTTATTTATTTTTCTTAATTAATAAATGCTTTCACTGCAAAACCATGCTTAGAATATATAAAATACAGTATACTGTATATACAGTATTTTAAGCATGGCTTTGCTGTGAAAAAATCCATTTGGTACTAGACTTTGGTGTGTGAATTTAATGAAATGAAACTCTATAATTGTTAAGTTAAAAGAACATACAAAGGAAATTTTAATTCTTAAATACTTGGTTTACTAGTATAGTACACTACTAATAAAACTATGATTATGATAAAATTTTGGGGAAATTACAAATAAGTGCCCAAAACTGAAAATAATTACAAATAAGGGCCCAAAATGAAAATAATTACAAATAGAGGCCAATTTTTGAAAATTATTACAAATAAGGGCCCAAATATATTGTTAGTTGAAAAAGTCGGGTTAAACTAGACGTTTTAGAATTTCGTTATATCGAATTCATTAAAAAATAAATAAATTGCATTGTCAGCGCAATTTTGAATGTTACTACGCAAACCTAATTACATGTTATAGAAACTATATATTTAATATTAAATAATACACATACTATTTTCTTTTTCTAAGTCTTCGACTGTATGTATGCGAATTATGACCTTTTTATTACATTTTCCACAAGTAAATTGATTTTCTGGTGCCGTTTCTCCACGACTACGCAACTGAGTTTCGTGGCCATCCTGCTTGTTTAATTGTAGTTGGCGGCAAAGTTTCATTAT